GGCGCCACCGGGCCCTCTGACCACCACCAGTAGGCAACGGGTGAAGTGTCTTGCCCAAGGACACAACGACCGAGACTGTCCAAGCCGGGGCTCGAACCGGCAACCTTCCAATTACAAGGCGAACTCCCAACTCTTGAGCCACGATCGCACGCAGATGCAAAATAACAAAGATGCAAACAGAGATACAAAAGAAACTGCAGAGTGACAAAATCAGCACATATCGGTAAAATGATTACCAAAAGAAAATGGCAAAAGGACTGCAAAAAGATGCAAAATGTGACGCTTCAGTTTCTAATAATGTGTGAGCCCTAAAGTACTAGTGGACAGAAAGCTGTTGTCTTGAATTCAGGTGTTTATTAATTATAACAATTCTGGAGGATTAACACTCAGATTGTTGTGACTTAGCGAGGTAGCTAATTATACTCATCAGAAAAAGAGCATCATAAAACAGAGACGGCTGTTCGTCTTTCATCAGGATAAATAAAGACCGAGGGGAGACAGTGGGAGCTTTATTCTGGTGTTGAGAAAAGGCACAACCCATAATTCACAACATCTGCAGGCAAAAGACCAGGGTGTAGCCTTGCTCCTCCTAACTAGCTGCATTTGAGATCTTGTTATCTGTGCCAGTGGTCACAGCCAGTTAATCTTCACACCAGTGCTTTGTCCACATACAGTCACTAGATTAGAAAGTCTGTCTGAAAGTTAATGCCTACTGTGCTCGCTGAAGAAGTCAGGGGACAGAGTCATGCTTCATGCAGGAACGTTTGTGGCACTAAGACAAGAGGATTGGGAATATTTGCAGTGAGTTTCTTTTGACTCAAGGTTTGTGTGTTTTTGTGTTTGTTTATGTGTGTGCAGTTTCAGGGTGGAGTCTGGTCCTTAAACATGCTGATGTGTGATGGCCTGATGACCATGGATGTGATGCTGTGCACCGCATCAATATTTAACCTCTGTGCTATCAGTGTGGACAGGTATACCTCTTTACGTTGCTCCTACATGCTTGCTTTTACTGTCAAAGGCATTCGATGAAGATGAGTCTGAAAGGTGAAAACTAACAAAAACACAGCAGATACTGTGATTAATCCTTCAGCTGTTCTGGACACAAATACTTGCTACAAAGAAGAAAACGTAATATTAAAAAGGGAATTTCATGATATAGTTATTTCATTCAGATAACAGTGTAATCCAGATATACTCCTCACATTTTGTTTCCTATAAAATAATTAAGTTCCAAACTGAAATTCAAGTTAAAAACAAGCATTAAAACGAATGTTTCGTGGACTTTCTGTATCACCACATCCACACTAAACTGAAATTTCTCTATTTTTAAAGGCCAATGTCAGGTTATTTCAGTCTGGTGAATTAACCATTAATATGGCTGTTGTAGCTTTATGGGTCATGCTAACTTTGCAACTTTGGTGATTTGGAAGAGAACTCATCATTTACGGGAGAGCATGAAAAGGTCCAAGGTCACTGCAGCTTTTCAAAAAGCCTGATTTACTATAAATCATTGCAGCTAAAATAAAATGACAGAAAATATAGCTGCTTAGGACGGATATATTCGTTTGCCAAGTTAAATCAATGTTGAGCCATGGGAGGTTGTAATGAATCAAAATTGTTTTTTGAATTCTCTCAAAGGCACAGCCACCACAAAATATTACTCTTGAGCACTGCAGCCAGTGAGTAAAGTCATCCTGAGTTCAGGATCACCATCAGGCAGGGGTCCTTCTGTGTGGAGTTTGCATGTTGTCCCCCGGTACTCCCACGTCTCCCACAGTCCAAAGACATGCAGTTAGTGGGGTTACGTTAAATAGTTATCTGTGTTAGTCCTGCGACAGACTGGCGACCTGTCCAGGGTGCCTCACACCCTAAGACTGCTGGGATAGGCCAGAGGAAAAGCTGCGTGAAAACCTTACTCTGTTTAACATCAATTTTTTTAAATGAAATTTTCATAGAGGGGCTAAAAATTTTGTCCCTGTGTTTGTCTAAATGTCAGCAGACAGTCATCCAAAGCCTTTAATAGACTGAGTCCACTTTACAAATGACTGTCAAAGCTCCCAGGTCTATCTTTTTATTTAAAACCTCCAAACAACGCTTACGTACCCAGCGTGATCGATCAACGTAATAAGTATAACTTGACAGTAACTATGACTGAATTAGTCTCCGGAGTCTTTGCTCAGTGACACGAGGACAGAGAATTATTTTTGTAACTCAGAATAATTCAGCTTTGACACTGAAATTTACATTTTTAACCTTATACATTGGAAGTAACAGGAAATACTGAAATGAAAATCATGCAATATAAACTCTGAACAGCTGTGTTACTGTAAGAATAACAGTTTTTTCCAGTGTTGTGAGACTTCCTGTCAGAAGTGGACAAAAGCTAAATGTTTCCTAGGACAAAGTTTAGATTATTTTACTTCTTTTACTTACCAAAAGACTATTTACCAGTATTTAATGTATTTAATGATAGCTTTACTAAAAATGATTAGACAATCAAATTTGGACTACACATAGACTACGAATGGAAACCAAAATGCTTCCAAGCGCTTGAGATCATGATGTTAAACATATCCTTGTGAACGCTTCTTTCTTTCTGCAGGTTTATTGCCGTGTCCATTCCACTAAACTACAACCGCAAACATGTGGACCATCGTCAGATCATCCTGCTATCTGCCACCTGGCTGCTGGCCTTAGCAGTGGCCTCGCCTGTCATATTTGGCATCAACAACGTACCTAACCGTGATCCCACAGAGTGTAAATTGGAGGACAACAACTATGTGGTGTATTCCTCAGTCTGCTCCTTCTTCATTCCTTGCCCCATCATGGTCCTGCTCTACTTTGGGGTTTTCCGCGGGCTGCGTCGCTGGGAGGAGACCCGTAAGGCCAAACTACGAAGCAGCATCGAGGCCTGCAGGAAGCTGCAGCACGCCGCCATCACCACGACCCTCGCCCCAGTGCCGGGCACCATCCCTGGACCTCTGCCCATGCCTCTGCCCAGGATTATTGAGAGAGATCTAGCCCAGTCTCGCATGGATGATTCTGGCGACTACATACAACAGGAGATTCCTTATCCACGGCAGTACAGAGAGAACTCGGTGCCGACGCTGACCTTCAGCCAGCAGCAAATGAAGACGAGAGCCAAGCTCAACAGCAGGGAGAGGAAAGCTATGAAGGTCCTGCCTGTCGTAGTAGGTGAGTGCCTTTATTGGTGAGCCAGCAGCACCCGAGGACCGTTAGTGTTACCAAGCTTTAGTCCAAATCAGTGTTTTACAACTCTGGGTGGATAGTTGACAGAAGCAGCGCTGCTGTGATAACCTGCACTGTAGGATTTGATCTGTAGCTCCTCTGCCTGCTGTCGAAACACGTTGACCTAAGTGTTCCTGTTATTTCTAGCAGGCTTTTCGCTGTCGCTCGGTTTACGTTCATTCATCCGTTCAATCATTCACATCAATGATTCGAGTCCACAGGAGGTTTGTGTTGTGATCGCTAAAAAGGGAGACGAATCAGAGTTTCCTGAGCTCATTTCCTGTTGGTCAGCTGGCATCAGAAACGTTTTGGGAAAAGCAGAAAGCAGCGTGTCACAGTTCTCTTATGATGCCTCCGTCCAAGCACGCACGAGCTGTGCTGCAACCTCAGAGGCTGCAAATGAAGCTGACATAATTCTGGTGTAAGCCGAAAAGCCTCAAGTATAAATGAAATCAAGTTAAAACTGATTTAGGACACTTTCTCATGGGGAGTATGACCTTTAATACAAGTGTAACAGTGAACTAGGTTTTATAATCTAATATAAATAATGTTAGCTGAATGTTGCTGTTGAACACTGTCCAACAAACGAAAGCCCGTCCAGGGCTTGGTTTATATTTTTATGTATCTCTTCCAATAACATGGATCTTTTCCTATTATGTGGCTGAGCTTCCATAGTTACTCAATTACAGCTTGTTGGACAAAGATACTGAAACACAGAAAACTGCTGTTTCTTCTCATTTTGGTTACACAAACAAGCTTGTATTGTGCAATTCTGTCACAGATTATAAACCAGTGACACACCTGCATAGCAGAATCTAGACTTACAGGCCAACAATCTAGATGTCCAACCGCAGCTGAACTGAGCAGAGACCGAATGTGGAGCTGCAGACTGGAGCAGTGCGAATGCTGGAAGAGAGCGAGGCCGATGGCAGACGTGGACAAGATGACACATTTTAATTGTTCTACTTTTACAGTAACTTATTAAAATGTGTTTCTTATCTTGTTGTAGCCAGCTTGAGGTTATTTGTAAAGTACAGGCAGAGACTGACTCAGTCTTTCATAGTGAAGGCCCCGTTTTTTATAACCAATAACAGAGGCGGATTACA